ATATATACATATCAGTAAATGTGTAAGTGTTTTCTTTTTATTTCCGAGTGGATGTGATTTCCGGGTGCATGTGGCCTGTGTTTAACGGTATGAATGAATAAATTAAATGTCTGTTCGTATTTTAAACTATTTGGTTCTCGCGAGCATAATACTAAGCATTAATACTCCTATGTGCCTGCAAGACAAGATTTTGAAAGGTTTATAATATACACACTCAACTTAAGGAATAACTTCATGGTTTTCGTCCCTCAAAGTTTGGCGATGGGGGTGGGGGATGGGTGGGTGAGGGGGATGGGTGAATGAGGGGCATATGGCGCCCTACTTCTATTCGATTCCTAGATAGGACTTCGCATATTTAGAAAAAAGGTAATATTATTGCACTCTATTTTCACCAGTTTACCAAGCTCCAAACGTGACAGGACCAAGCAATCCGTAGTGACAGAATAATATGGTTGCTTTTAAGCATAAGGGGGCTATCCAGAAAAATACTGTTTTGAAAGAAATCGAATATAAAGTTTTTGTCCCTTGTTCAGTTTCTTTGAAAGACAATGAGAGTTTTCTCGGTAACCAAACAAATATGCACATAAATGAAACCAAACTTCTCCTATAGGTATAACAATGCCCACTTTTAGTGTAGGTCAAGATTCCTGGAAACCCCAGAAATCTGGGTTAGCCCACTTGCCCTTAAAAGCGACCATATGTGAATGATAGCGTTGTGCACCTAACTGGCTCCAACGTTCTAATTTTGCCTCTGGCACTGAAAAGGCAGACACAGATAAAGAAAAAGACCCACAGTGTTACACTGGTTTTCTCTAAATTCTAGATGAACATGTAACTAGAAATAAAGCCTACCGGTTGAGCAGTCAAGAAGTCAACTAAAGCCAACTTGGGAAATATAACCGGTCTCTCATCTAACACTGGAAGAAAGGATTCCCCAAAACAAGACGCACATATATTGTGATACTGAAAAGCAAGCCGGAAAAAGATGAGGACAAAGAAAGATGAAATGACAACAAACCTGCCCCTTGTCTCTTTCAGTTGAACGTTTTTGATCCAGAACCGATTGGCCTTCAGAACTCCGTACTTGTCAAACTCTAACCCACCAGGCAACTTTGCTTCCAGAAGTTTCCTGGTGAAAATCATTTTTTTAAGGTTTATATTTTAACTATGTCTCAAGTCACAATAATAATAATAATAATAATAATAGTAGTAGTAGTAGTAGTAGTAGTAGTAGTAGTAGTAGTAGTAGTAGTAGTAGCAGTAGTAGTAGCAGTAGTAGTAGCAGCAATAGTAGTAGTAGTAGTAGTAGTAGTAGTAGTAGTAGTAGTAGTAGTAGTAGTAGTAGTAGTAGTAGTAGTAGTAGTAGCAGCAGGAGGAGGAGGAGGAGGAGGAGGAGGAGGAGGAGGAGGAGGAGGAGGAGGAGGAGGAGGAGGAGGAGGAGGAACAGTTGTCGGGATCAATCAAATTGTGCTTTGGTTAATGATCCTTTTAAGAAAAAGCAAATTAATCAGGGTCAGAAAAAGTAGTGTGTTCTTTTGAACCATTTTAACATTTAAGTTTTGAAAAATGTATAATTTACGACGCATTACTTCTGTTTTCCTTTCACAGCAGGACCTAAATAAATAGGTGAGTGGAGAGTTGTGGACACTGTTCGAACAAAAAAATCATATGTACGAGATTTGAACCAACCAAACAGCGGTATAATTGAATATTTAGTTTAGTTTAGTTGAGGTTTATACGGCGCTCGCAGCAGCATAAGGCCATATGAGCGCCAGAAGATTAGAGGTGTTACAAGAGAGTAACAAAAATAAAAAAAAAGGAGAAGGGGAGATAAGGACGATAGCTGTTTGATAGGAAATAAAAAGCAAACCACACCAGTGCACCTGCCAACCACCCACATAATTGAATATGTACAGACAGTGTGCAATCTTATTCAACAAATAGGCATCTTTAACTCTTTAGCACTCCACATTAACGAAGGATAGTGTCATGTGGTTCCGTCTTATCATGCTATATACCCCTTGTCTTTTTCTAGTTCAGAAGAGTGCTCTTATACGCCCCTACTTCAATAAGTAAAATAAATACAACAAAACTAAACTAAAATGCTAACATACCAACGGTAAAGGACAAGACAAAAGGATTGTATATAAATAAATATAATATCTAGGTGATTCTAAACACTTTCTCAAAAAAAAAAAAAAGTGAGCTTTACTGGCCACGCTCTAGAAAACACCTGTTGCGCATGTCACCTGACCAGCCAGCCTTGAGAGCCTACAACACCAAGCACTCAGGCTATAAAGGAAGAGGAACGCAAAAGGTGGATCGAAGGTGTCAAGGAAACCCTAGGAAAACATAACATCACAACTGAAAGAGCTGCGGAGCAGGCCTACCATAGAAAACTGCATCTCCCCTCGACGTTTAACGGCAGCAGAGGATGAAAAAGTAAAAGTAAAGTAAGTAAGAAAGCTCTAGTAAAGCTCCTAAAATTACTTGTAAAGTTTTTCTCCGTATTTCCAAAATAGAGGCTTTTTGGCCGCGCCCTCGTCCTCTTCCTCTAGCTGGGCCTGGAGGCGGTCACAGGAGAAGCCCGTTTTGAAGTCCATGTCCTGCATGTCTGGGGACATGGCCATCCTGTTGAGGGTGTCTAACCACAGGTCCACCGCCATCTTGGATACGGCTTGTATGTCTTCTCGTTTGTTGTCATAGCCCAGAACTAGAAAAGTGACAGTAGCAAAAAACAAAACAAAAGTTTTACAGTTGGACTATATTTTGGTTTTGTTATGCTAAACCAAAAAATATTTTTACTTTAAATGGATAGTTTAGTTTATTCTAGTAAAGAGAATCACATAAACACAATATCGGTCATGCAGTGGCGAGGACCCCCTCCTCACACACCCCCAGGTCAGACCGATAGTAGCAACAGAGGAACCATTCTACATGAGACATGGAACAGTTCACACAGAGGTCGGCGTCCATTTCAAAGACATCGAACTGAAAAGAGACGATACTTCATTGTAGAAAAGAATTCTGATCTAACTCAATTTAAAACATCGAAAATCCGTATGTGTATTCAATAGAACGAGACATTCTAAGAACGAAACAGTGGACCAGTTGAAGGAGAATAACAGTACGCAAACATAGTACATTCACTGTGAACTATTTTGACTTCTTTATCAATTTCTCAGACATATAGCACTGCTCAAAGCAATAAAGGTGAGAATCACATAGACTCAAACGTTAAGTTTCGATGAGTGGTGATGGGAATAGGTTCACTTTTCCCTCTTTATTCTACTTCTTCTTCATCAGTCTGATGTCCGCTCTTTTTGCAAATGGGATGCGTTGTGAATAGTAAGGTCTGTTGTGGAAAGGCACAATCGATTTAAAAGCAAGGACGAATACAATAATAAAAAATGTGTCGTACTGAACGATCCTAATGGGTAGCTCCTCCCCACTATTGAATTTTCCTTCTTCAGAGAGATGGAGGCGTGGGTGTAGATCCAGACGTACTCGTGACCGGTGAGACCCAGCTCTTTGGCGATGTCGGTGATGGTCGCCACCTCACCGCTGAAAAACAAGAGGATATCAAAACTACTTATTCCTAGATAGATAACACATTTCTCTCGTGTGTCTACACTAATACTAACAGTTAATTTTAAAATCCAAAAATGCTGCACATTTGTTGTTGTTGTTGTTGTTGTTGTTGTTGTTGTTGTTGTTGTTGTTGTTGTTGTTTCTACTTAACACAAAAGCGCCAGTTGATAGAAATGGGCAGGATAAAAAATAAACCCGACAAAAAAGAAACAAACAAATAAAACAACTACTTATTCCTACCAGGGGACACACAGAACACCCTATACAGCAATTTAAGACAAAATATTTCCCCAAAACACCCTAAAATATTTTCATAGGGGGAAAGTATCTGTCTGACAGGCATTTAATTCCCATTTGCAGTGTTATGACTTAAACCTATCTCTTGCTTTAATTTAATGATATAATAAGAAACCATCAACCAGAAACGAAATTAGCTCGTCAGAAGCATACTTCCCCCCACTAAAAGCTTAGATTAGTACTACATTATGATTTGCTAGAAAGAAACATTTGCTGTGTGTACTTCATTGTGATTTGCTGGGAAGAAATAAATATAAACACACATAGTGTGGGAAATCAATATCACGAAGCATTTGGTGGATGTTTGGAGGATAATTACTAGTGTGGGAAATCAATATCACGAAGCATTTGGTGGATGTTTGGAGGATAATTAATGTGTTTCCTACAAAAACAAGAGTAATAACCATAGTGATAATGATAACAATACTAGCTATTTCTTCAATGTCTGCCGATGACCAATGCATCCGTAGTGGAGAATATTTCTCTAGCGAAATAAAAGAATAAAAGCGTAAGAAGACTTGTGGCCTCTGCTTTGACCAACGAGCAACGAGGTCACTTCTGACAGAGAAGAATTTGCCACGTTCTGAGCAAACGTCATACTCATTATCTCCCGTGGACGTAAACGTCATACTCACTATCTCCCGTGGAAGCAAACGTCATACTTACTATCTCTAGAGGAAGCAAACGTCATACTCACTATCTCTGTGGAAGCAAACCTCATACTCACTACACGTATCTCCGGTGGACGCAAACGTCATACTCACTATCTCTAGTGGAAGCAAACGTCATATTCACTATCTCCCGTGGAAGCAAACGTCATATTCACTATCTGCCGTGGAAGCAAACGTCATACTCACTATCTGCCGTGGACGAGGATGATGCGCGTGTCCTTGTCGAGCTCATAGCGCAGTTTCTCCTCCACCTCCTCTCGGTCTCTGCCGTTAGTGAAGTTCACATAGGAGAGCAGGTTGTACCTGTAACATTTGATCAAAGAGGTTGTATTATTAGAGAAATGAGAGTCATATAATAGTGTTTTTTTAAAGTAAATATTTACGGCACTTGAAACACAATAAGGTCATATTACTGCCGAAGGTTAGATGTGTTACAAGATAGTAACAAACACAAAAAAGAAGGAGGGGAGATAAAGACGATGGATGCTTGGTAGGAAAGAAGAAGCAAACCACACTTGAGCACGCGCCAACCACCCACCTATAATACTGGTTGCAGTGAGATAACTATAAAGGAAACAGAAGAATCAAACGTTACGAAGACACTCACGAGAACATATCGACTCCGTAGACACTTAAGTTCGTCCTGGACTTGCTTTCTTCCACCTTGGCGCGAATAGCGGCTATCTCATCCATACAGCCATACGAGAGCGTACACAGGAAGGAGAAGTCCGTCCATTTGAACTTCCGGAGGAAGGCGAACATGACGTCAGTCATCTGACCCATGGTGGGCGCCAACTGGATGGACAGAGCCGGCTGGAGGTTGTGGAGAGAGGTGGTGGGTTGGGGCGGGGAGGTAGGGGAATAAGAAGATTTGAGTTAAGATTTTAGTTTTAGTTTTAGTTTTAGTTTAGTTTTAGTAGAGGTTTTACGGCGCTCGCAACTGCATAAGGTCATATAATCGCCAAAAGATTAAAGGTGTTACAAGAGAGTAACAAACATAAAAAAGAAGAAGGGGAGATAAGGACGATAGATGTTTGATAGGAAAGAAGGAGCAAACCACACCAGAGCACCCACCAACCACCCCCGTTAAATTTTTTGTAAAATTGTTGTCCGAGTAAAGGAAAAGAAAGTTAAGAACTGCTTGATGGGTCTATGATTAATTACCGAAAATCAGCTCTATTTCAAGCAATGCATTTCTTGTTTTCTCTACTCTAGAGTCTACATCTGTGACAAAAACAACAACCCCCACCTAGTATCTCAAGAAACAAAACATTGTTATGTTCCATCAATACTCCCTGTTCTGTCCACCTGTACATAAAGTTTTTACTGTCCCCCCTTTCTTTTGAATTACAGACAGACATGCCCCCCCCCCCCCAAATTCAAACGAGTTCTGTCTTTTACACTATAGAGCTCTAAACCAGAATCTAAAATCATACAGTAAAGATCCATAATGTGGCATGTACACGAGTACTACAGACTACTTCAGGCTACCATAGGTTTGGAAGACAGTCATGGGAATGTTTGGTTCTTTAGTTTAGTAAAAGTTTTACGCCTCTTGCAACATAATGAGGTCAGATAAGTGCCGAAGAATAGATGTGTTACATGAGAGAGTTACGTACACAAAACAGGAGGAGAGGTAAGGGATAGATAGGAAAGAAGGAGCAAACCAAACCTGAGCACCCGCCAACAAACCGCGATATTAGGTTCTTAGCGAATTGTGAAATTGAAAAAAAATATATGATAAAGAAAACAAATAAACGAAGACCATTTGAAAAAAATGAGTTTTTATGGAAGTGGATCGTTGTTTTTCTAACTGAACAGCAAAAAGAAACACAAAATCCAGACCTGATGATAACTTTGCTTAAGGGGGAAAAAAGCAGAGAGAAATAAGGGAAGACCTGCTCCATCATACATTGGAAACGTAAAATCTGACTGTGGTCCGTGAGTTCATGAAATAATACATCAAAGCAGAGACTGGCGAGGATGGGTGCCTGTTATAGTAGGGAAAGTGGCACCCCGGACGTACACATTATGGGCTATGGTGAGAGATGGCAAGTAAAGGGAACATAAGGATTTGGGGGTAAATGTCTCACCACTCATTTTGAACGACGTAATGCAGTGTTTTACGAAGGCTGCATCGGTTTAAAAACTAACGTTTTTTTTAAAGAAATGGGTTTTGAAAAAGAAGCAACATAAAAGGGTCGTTACCACCGGTTTGAACAGGATGCATATATATACTATGTGATGAAGCCTTTTCATTTGGAGAGAATTTTAAATTAAAAAAAAAAGCGAACAGGCCCCAGAGAGGACGACACATTGTGTTTGTTTTTGTACTGGTCTCCAGTAGGCAGAAACAGGGCATTTTAAAGACAGGTCGTGTGTCCCAATTGTTAGAGCAATAAACATAGCAAAAGGAAAGAAAGATGGCAGAGGAGACACAGAAAAGTAAACTCAATTATTTAAACACGTCGCAACAAGGTGATATAAATGTGGAAGTCTTAAAATACAAAGGCTGCATCTCCTATTAGTAGATAATTCTTATCTCGACTTACTTGAATGTAACTCAGAGGACAACAACGAAACGAGATATCTTTTATTTGGCATTACTTTAAAAAAAGAATCACCGTGCAGTGTAGATTCTGGTCGGCAATAATGAGTAAGGACATTTTGGACGAGAAGAAAATTAATAGACAGCTGGAGTAGCACCGACAGCAAAGTACGACCTCTTCACCCTCACTGTCTTTCTAAATACGAAAAGCCATTGTTGAAAGATTTATGACTCGCGGTAAGACTGGAGAAAATGCCCAACAACAACCCACACGATACGACACCGTACCACGACGAATCGAGGCAATGGTTGAAAGAGGAACCTGTTTCGTTTCGGTGTTGTTCCAAATCGTTTGGGGCCTACAAATGTCTTGGAAAAAGTTGTCGTTGTCAGTGTCTGGTTTTGTCTCGGTGTCCGTTTTGTTTCGCTGCCGTTATGAGTTTGAGAGTTTCCAGCCTAAGCCGCAGCACACTAGGCGTGATTTCCCCGGAGAGAGCACAAGTCTCTACAATTGGAGAGGATACGTGGGCTAGTGGGTACTCGGTTCACAAATAAGTGTCACTGGCCTTGTCTACTAACTAAAGAGGGGCCTTGAATCAGTTCGAATGGGGACACAAAGTACACTTTATTCCCTTACACTACTTTCATTACTTTTTTCCCTCGCTTAATTCTTTCCTCTCGACCCCATCCGATTTGATCAAGCGGATGGGGTACATTCGACAAATAGGTGATCCTTATAATGAATAATAACTAGTCATAGCGTTCATAAGCACTGACGATTACCTTGAAGTACACGGGAATCAACATGGCTATCAATCTGAAATCCGAGGCACGTATTCGGAAAAGGTTCGACTTTCTTTCGCCACTCAGCAGGTATTGTCTCTACATTGCTGTAATTCTAACAGAAAACCTGCATTTCATAAATTTTGACTAGACCTACATCTGTCTAATGTTATGATAATATGAGAGACATGCTGACAAAATGAGTTGCTTCTCACAAACCACAAATGGAGATGTCTGCTGAAAATCGATATCGGGGTTAAATCTATAGATTTTCAATCGAAGCCATTTTCTTCAAGTGCTTCTATCATCATTTCATAATTCATAAATTGTACAACTGCCACCGATAAATTTGACGTATTTATTTCATTTGGGCAAAAATCCAAGAAGCAGTTCATTTTGTTAGCACACTTCACATAATATGTGCATGGAGACTCTTTAAACACTCTGGGGTTATTAAGAGGCTGGACTAGTGATTTCATCCTATAGGGAAGAAATGGCGTAGCCATGTAACAAGATCGTGCAGCGTATCCAATATCATTCTTCAGGGAACTGTGCTGGGGAGGAGAAGGAGAGGAGGGCAAAAGAAGAGATGGGCCGACAACATTGTGGAGTGGACAGGGAAAACCTTCCCCCAAACTCAGGTGCTTGCAAAAAACCCATTGAAAAGTGGAGGTATCTGACGATGCTCTCTATCATACAGGGCCCCTACGATCCTCATGGATTATGGGATCAGTGACCAGCGAGTGATAGGACACAGCCACTTGGGTCGAACGTCTTTTTTATCCCTTCCCCATTTATATAAGATTGACGCCATCTGATTAGTAGAAAAAAGTGAGTATGATAGTGTCCAATAGTGTATTACGTGCACATTTAGTATGACAAGTAAATGTTACAGATAGAGATTCCAGGATTATAGATGTAAGTCATTGATCTGAGAGCGTGATGATTTTAGAAATAAATGTGGTGATGAGTGATGATGTGGAATTGCGTTAGTCCTATCTTCCTCTGCTCCAATGAGTCACAAGGGACGTGGGCACCCTCTATCCCGTTCCCTATTGGAACTATCTTTAAAGTGACCTTGAAGTTCAGAAAAGGTGTGCACAGTCTCTGCTAAGGTGACATGGTTAGTGTTAGCTTATTCTATCGGGCCAAGACAAGTGTCAAAAGGAGCTAAGAGGGAAGACAGTATAGTGGCAGGTATGTTGGGGTATTCGTAAGCGAGTTGTAGGTAGCAAGTTAGCAAACTGATCACGGACTTTAAAAATGCAGCATTCTACTCCCTGATCATTTGTCCCGAGTATTCTTTTCTAGTCCTATTAAACTTGCGGAGATTCTGTCATTCCAATTCCCCAAACAATCAGCCTGGGGGCAAGAACAAAACTCTGGGATTCGAGTGGGGGTCATCTGCACTGTAGTACCGAACGGTACCAACTGATCGAAGCAGTGTGCCCAGTCGATGGTGAACAAAACGGTGAAAGGGTATAGGTTAAACATCCCTATCAACACGATTAGCTAATTTAAGAGGCGGGACTTCCGAGTTTAATGTCCATCTACGAAAGGACCGCGCTCAGTGGGAAGTTCGTATAAAGTGCCTTTCCCAATAACACAACGTCGGACTGAGCTGAAGCTCGAGCCCCCCCCCCCCCCCCGAACCCTCGACCTCACGATTACGAGTCCGGTAGCGTAACCACAAGGCTACCGACGCCACCTCACTAATAGAATGTCAAACTCCCCCCCCCCCACCAAAAAAAAAAAAACGTGTATAAAAAGCTCATACAACGATATAGACTCACTCGTTTGTTGACGGAGAACTCCGTGTCGTAGGATATGATTGGCAGCCCAAGGGACTCGATTATCCGTGGGATATAGTCGCCTGCAAGAGAATATTATATTCTTCATATTAGATACAGATCGTACGTTACGGAACTAAATATCGTCCTATAAGAGCCAGTTCCACGTATCAAGGTTTTAGCGAACTTTTCAGGAGGAACAAAAAACTGATTAATGTAGGTAGGTATGTATGTATGAATAATCAACACACTGGAAACGATCAAACCCTAAAAGCGTATAAGACGATACGCCATTTAGGAATTCTTGGCTTTTCTGTCGGTTCCGTAGACATTCTCGTTGCGTCATCCAAGTTGTAACAACATTGCAATCCATTCCGCACATCTCAATATGAGCTAATTTGGAAGCAAACAGCTATTATAAGTGAAACAGTTATTTGCTTTTTATAGTGATTGTAAAGCTGGGAACTCAATGAAACGTGTACAGAAAAGAAGCCCACGATACGTGCTTGCGATTGGTGAAAAACATTTCCCCCAAAATCATGATACGCGGATCTGGCTCTTATAGAACTATATACACACAAACGTTCTGGGTCAGTATGGCTTTCTATTATTGTTTGGCATGACATGGATAGCTACAGAATACTATAATGCATGTAATACTATTCAATTAAACTCTGTACTGAGTCAAAAGCTAAATTTATTGTCGAAGAGAACGTAAAACGTTGTATATAATCAGTGCAATGTGCATCGATTTATATCACTTGGCAGAGAAACATAGATCATGAAATGAAAACAGTTCAGTGTTGACCAAAAAAAGGCGCTTCCGTGCACCACTTAAAATTCATCCTTTCCAGAATGCCCATTAATTCCTGATAACTTAAGGCCAGAAGATCTCTAGACCGGACATTATGGGCTATTCTGTTTTTACAGTTGTAATTAAACACAAACAAAGAAAACCAAACAAAAGGGGAACAGACGAGAATGAAAACACCTCAGGAATGGTAAGAGGATACTCACTTGCCGGTTTATCATACTGCTCAATCACGAGGTGGTTGTTGAGGTAGAATACGGTGATTGTGTTCTGCGGGAAGATATCCGTACACAATATATTCAGGAAATCCTTCGGGGAATAGAAAGACCGGGATGTCGTGCTGTTCGCATTGAAGGCTTGGGCTAAAGCGCTGTGGCAGCCGGCGTCGTGGATGGTCAGTGCAGAAAGAGATGTGAAGGGACATTTTATTATAAATTCGGGTTTACAACTGAGTGAAATTAAAATGGTGAAAAGGTATAGGTTTACCGTCCCTATCAACACTATTAGGTTATTTAAGAGGTGGGGCCTCCGAGTTTGTGGTCCACCTCCGAAAGGACCGAGTCAAATGAGATGTTCACGTAAAGTGTCTTTCCCAAAAAACACAACGTGGGACCGAGCTGACACCCGAACCCCCGAAACTGCAATCTCACGACAACGGGCCCGGTAGCCTAACCACTCGGCCACCGACGCCACTTACATCTGCGTAGTGTAGTGCGTAACACTGAAAGGTGCCTTTTGATGTGTCTATCACCCCCCCACCCCCGCCAAAATAAAAGATCAAAATAATGATAAATATACACATAATCAAAATAGAAGAAGAAAGTAAAGAGCGAATGAAACATGCAATTTCGTGTAAGATGTAAAAAGAGCCACCAAAGGTTTGATACAGAAGGAAATAATAGAAATGTCACCAAAATTTAAAAAAAAATATATAACAAAAGGACAACCCTGCTTTATTCACAAAACGAAATAACATGAGCAACCAAAAATAATATCTCCTCACCAACAAGAATAAATAGAAAACAAAGATGATAAGTGAACCTGACATTATTCCCAACATCAAATAACAAGGGCACCAAAACCACACTATTAATCTAACCAACAAAAACAAACTGGCGACAAAGATATTTTGAAATATATATTATTTGCAGGGCAGATAAGAACTCTAATTCATGTAACGTTTTTGTCTTTCATTTGGTCGCTTTTAAGCACAAGGGGGCTATCCCGAAAAAGGCTGTTTTGAGAAAATCGAATGTAGAGTTTTAGGACCCTTGTTCAGTTTAAAGACAAGGAGAGTTTTCTCCATAACCAAACAAATATACACACCAATGAAACCAAACTTCTCCTATAGGTAGAGCAATATCCACTTTTAGTATACGTCAAGATTTCTGGAAACTCCCGAAATCTGGGTTGGTCCGATCGTCCTTAAAAGCGACCATTTATGTGCTAGCTAAAGTTTATATTGTAACAAAGATAACAAGTAGTTGACCCATCTACGTAAATCAAATCACGAAAAACCTACGGGTATTTTCTATGCGTCCATCCGATTTTGAGCGGTTTGAAGGCGTCCCCTACCGCTGCGATAAAGTCTCCGGAGGTGGTGAGAGGGAAGAAGGCGTGTAGGCCCACGTCGACGGGGCCAGGGCTGGGCTGTACAAGGCTGATGTACATCCCACTCAGCAGCAGCAGCGCCTGGAACGACATAAGTTTGGAGTTAGTTTCGTTTTAGTAGAGGTTTTACGGCGCCCACAACTGCATAAGGTCATATGAGTGCCACAAGATTAGAGATGTTACAAGAGACCAACAAACATAAAAGAAGAAGAGGAGATAAAGACGATAGATGAGTTTTGAGCTAGAACAAGTTTTGTTTTAGTTTTTTGTGTGGTTTGTTTGGTTGTTTTTTGCTTTTTGTTGGATAAGCGTTTTACGGCGCTCGCAGGTGCATGATGTCAGATGAGCGCGCGGGACACATTAAATATTTTTAGTTCGGTAGGAATTAATTTTGATTTTGCCGGAATGGCGGCCAAATCCTACTCTTATCGATTTTGGACCTCCAAGGGATTTTTAACGTGCGCAACCTGCACACTGTACCTCTGAGATCTTTTTGTCGTTATCCAAGAAGACTAGGTCTTAGATCTGACCTTCCATAAGGTCAGAGATGTGGCTGAAGGACAGAGCAGTAAGAAGGGGCCAAGGAGCAGCAGTAGAAATGCTGCAAAAAGTGCCAGGAGCCCAGAGTCGCGGGCAAAGGAGGTGAGGGGGTGGGGGCAAATAACGGATACGAAAGCAGACGACAGAACATGGTTAAAGAGCAGGAAAACAGATGAATGGAGAAAGTTTTGGAAACGAATATTTTCCCTCGCTGTCCAGATTAGAAATCGGGACCTATTGAATGAGAGGCAAACACCGTAACCTCTCGACCACGAGAGTCCCCCCCCCCCTTTAGCATAGGTTTATTTTATGACCATTTTAATGATTATTTATCTAAAAGAAACGGGAGTCTCAGATTTTTATACCTTCCATAGAATCAGACAAGAGCTTCTTCCGCCACAGGTAAGGCATATGTGCGGGAAGCGTTCGTCAAAATAATGAAATTGAAGAAACGGCATTTTCAGCTCGCTCGGCAATTTTTATGTAATTTTTGTTTTTTTGCTCAACACCTTTCAAGTTAATTAAAAAACACATTTTCGTGTTGATTTTACAGAAAAAAAAGATGCTTAAAGGGACAAAAAATCCAATTGTTTTAGTGTCCAAGGACTCTCAGGCTTTGGAAGTCACCTGACCTTGGCGGCCATTTTCCCACTAGTTTTATCTCTGAAATCATGCGACTCCCATCGCCTTCAAAAGCAAATATACCACCTTCATAGAAAGTAAGACAAAATGGAAATCTTCACTATGAAACTAATAACCCCATATGCCCCAAAATTGACGAGCGCCTGATTCTACCACGTCATGACACTTTTAAGAAGAGAGAATCTATGCTTTTGTTGGCGTGGTAGGCTAGAACTGGACACCAATTCATGACACAAATGGTTTCTTAAAGTACCAGACCTTCGACAAAGCAACACAAACTAAAGGATCCACAATTTATGGGGTTTGAACCCGATGAAGCAGATGAATCTTGTTGTGGGTGATATTTTAAACGGAAGATATTGGAACTTCCACTGTTTTTGTTTTTGCATTTGGGGAAGGAGATAATGGCGATACTACTGACGATTTGTACCGTACAAATGATGATGATGATGATGATGATGATGATGATGATGATGATGATGATGATGATGATAAAAATAATAATGATGATGATGTCACTATCGATAAAACAGAGAAATAACACAATGGGCTTGTGTGTGTGTGTGTTTGTTAGTTAGTGGGTTAGTGTGTGTGTATGAAAGAGAGAGAGAGACAGAGAGAGAGAGAGATAGATAGATATATAGATCGATAGATAGAGAGAGAGAGAGAGAGAGAGAGAGAGAGAGAGACAGACAGACAGACAGACAGACAGACAGACAGACAGACAGACAGACAGACAGACAGACAGACAGACAGACAGACAGACAGACAGACAGAAAGAGAGAGTGAGAGAGAGAGAGATATTGAGAGACAGACTGACAGAGAGAAAGAAAGAGAGAAAAAAGAGACAGGGAAAGAGAGAGAGAGAGAGAGAGAGAGAGAGAGAGAGAGAGAGAGAGAGAGAGAGAGAGAGAGAGAGAGAGAAGGGTAGAGAGAGGTAGAAACACACACACACACACACACACACTAACATTAAGACACAACCAGTCAAGCTGTCCTGTCACACAGAACAGAGCCTGCCAGCTAGAAGGAACACGAAACACGATTCGCCTTACAACTACTTACATCAGTGAGCGTGTTGCCACTCATGTTGTACTGTTGGCTGAGGTTAATCAGATTTGGTGAGTACGGCGGTCCCAGAGCACCTGGAGACTGACCCACGGGCAGGGCGGGGGCAGGTTGGAGAAGGCCGGAAACAGACATGGTGGGGGAGCAGGAAGGCCGCCCGGCCTCCACTCAATGGGCCTGGTTCGAAACGATTCTGAGGAAGACAGAAAGCAGAACGTAAGCATGTTTTTTTTTAAAAACTCGTTAGAAAATTATTTTTTTTTGGGTAAGTGTTGAGTACAGTATAATGTGTTCATGCAAATACGATCATTTAATAATATTCGTATTAAGATAGGCTATGCTGTTGTTTGTCAAATTAAAACCCCCCCAACTAACACTAGTTCCACGAAAACGTATCCTATTACAAAAAGAAATTATGGTTTTAAAACCGTGAAGGATGAGATCTACTGTAAAGAGTAGACAGACAGACAGACAGACAGACAGACAGACAGACAGACAGACAGACAGACAGACGGACAGACAGACAGACAGACAGACAGACAGACAGACAGACAGACAGGCAGAGAGTATTAACGAATTGAATATGATCTGCAATGCGGTGTGTATGTCAACGCAAAGGTGGTCCACAGAGAAGCCAACGTATTGGTTTTACACGAAAAGAAAATAATAAGGGTTAGTTACAAAACAAGCTCAGCTGTTTAAAAAACTTCAGATGAAAAATACATTTACAGAAGAACACCCTTAAAGCCAGCTGTTATTCCCGGGACTTGGCGATCCAAGGGACAGGTGTAAGGTAAGGTAATGTGTGCACAACCTTTACGGGAACTATTTTCAGCACATAATAGGATTGAAATCGACTAATTAGAGTGTATGGTACTGACATTTTCAATAAATATTCAACAATTTAAACGTAGAGCACACTGATGAGGCTAGCTGCTGTGATGCTGTGGGTTATACATTCGCTGTTAGCGAAAGGTCGAGGTTCGAACCCAAGAGGGGTTGGAACTGTTTTTCATCTCTGCTGGTGTTGTACCCCACCCCCACCCCCCAAATCCATCCTCTCCTATTTGTTTAGAAAATGATTGTAAATCGCAAAGGACCAACGGATTGACGAGGATCACATCAGCCCAACGTACAATACGAACAAATATGGCCAGTTGGCCAAGTGCAATGTTACGTTTTGAATCCCCAAGAAGAGCTTTATATAAAAGTGGTCATACTTTTGCACTTTATCGACTTCGGCAAAACCAAAAAGCAAGTGACATAAATAATTTAAAAAGAAAAACGTTTATACCCTGGTGCGGCGGAGCTAACAAAACCCAATGTTGACATGACACTGGATATTCCAAGCCAGTTATGCTACGTTCGAATTTCTAGGAATGATTTCTAAGCAAAGGGCTAGAGCAAAAACAAAACGAACATAAAAAGCACAAGTGAGAGTACAAAGAGTTCATGAAAGCCACAACGTCATGCCTCGCAGAAAGCGGAGAGAGTCCATCCTCCCTCCCAAAAATCACAGGCTTGTCTTGAGAAACCTTCGCTTTTGCGCCAAGACGTATTTTCCTTTTTTCATCAAGTAACCAAAACGGAACACGAGTTCAGCAATCCAATTCCAGTTACACTAAGAGAAGTCTGTTATATAAATGTACGAGACGGGGGTCATCGTCTAGGGGGAAAACCCTTTATGCAATGACCAGTGTCCAGCCCGAGAGAACCAGAGCTGATGTCGGACGAAGATTAACCACGGACTGATATCTTTCCGCCTGACATAGCGTCCGGAGAAGCTATAAATTTTAATCAGATTTTGTCTGGCATTTTGCAAGCGCCGCGGGTTCTGGGAAATTCCGGAGACGGGTGTCAATAACAGTGTAAGTTGTGAGATCGAGGTATTGAGCGAGGTTTAAAAAAGCTTGTTCTGGTCTAAAAATGAACTGCATAAGTGAGTTTAGCTAAGATTTCGCTCCCTCAGATTTTTTGACTTGGCAAACGGAGAGTATAATGGAGTGAGAGATGCCAACTTAGAGTAATGATACATTCCCACCGATATATTATAATTAGGTGTGTGGGAGGCAAGAGAGAGAGAGAGAGAGAGAGAGAGAGAGAGAGAGAGAGAGAGAGAGAGAGAGAGAGAGAGAAAGAGAGAGAGAGAGGAGAAAGAGGGAGAGAAAGACATGAAAAGAAAGACAGAGAGGGAGAGAGATAGAGAGAGAGAGAGGGATATTATATATAGAGAGAGAAAGAAAGAGAGAGAAAGAAAGAGAGAGAGAGAGAGAGAGAGAGAGCGAGAGCGAGATAGAGATAAAGAGAAAGGGTGTGAGAGAGACAGAGAGACTGAGTGAGAGAAAGAGAGTGAGTGAGAGAGAGAGAGAAAGAGAGAGAGAGAGAGAGAGAGAGAGAGAGAGAGAGGGAGGGAGAGAGAGAGAGAGAGAGAGAGAGAGAGAGAGAGAGAGAGAGAGAGAGAGACAGGCAGACAGACAGACAGACAGACATAGAGAGAAAAAGGGGAGATTTTAAAAAGTGACAACTACAAATCACAGCGATTAAGATCGGCTTTGACAGCTCATTACTAATTCACCCCTTCTACGTCTTGCCAAAACACAGATTATCTTTGAAGAACTCGGTGATCGGTTCTTGGGGCATAGTCTGCTATGTTGAGAAAGCCACGACGCGTATATTTTAGTCAAATCATGACCAAGGGTATTAAATGTGAGGCAGCGCGGTGGAATCAGGCTCTCGTCAAAATAATCAAAGTGAAGAAACTTGCATTTTTCCGCAGGTTTGTGAATTTTTATCAAAATTTTGTTTTTTGGCTCAACACCTTTTCTGCCCATTAAAGAACTAATATCTGTGTGGATTTTTCTGAAAAACGTTGATTAAAAGCACAAAAAGTGTAAATTTTCTGTTACCACCGACTCTTAAGTTAAGGAAATAACTAATCTTTGGCGGCCATTTTCTCACTAATTTTACCTCTGAAAACAGGTAACCCCACCTCCTTCATTCGCAAATATCTCGACTTGTATTCAAGATAAATGGATCTTTTTTTCTTCCAAATAAAGACAAGTGAACAAGCTATAAGATGATACCAATAACTCTACATGCCCAAAAATTGACGAGAGCCTGATTCCACCACACTGCCTCACAAATAGTTTTAAAACTACTTACTTTGTGTGGCGGGACTTTTAACATTAGCGTGAAAAGAAAGAAAGAAAGACAGACAGACAGACAGACAGACAGACAGATAATAGATAGATAGATATATAGCCAGCTAGCTACTAGATACAAAGATAGATAGATAGATAGATAGATAGACAGACAGACAGACAGACAGACAGACAGACAGACAGACAGACAGACAGACAGACAGACAGATAGATAGATAGATAGATAGATAGATAGATAGATAGATAGATAGATAGATAGATAGATAGAAGACTTGTAAACGCAATGTCAAACATAAGACAGATTTCCAACAAGAATAATGTTCAAATCTCCAAACTTACGATCCAATGAACACAGAAAAACTAGATAAAAACACGGTGGTCCTCAAAATACCCAGATATAAACGATCCAATGATCAGCGAAAAAGTTTTAAAAAACAACCTCGCTGTAGTCCTCAGAATGCTCAGATATAAACTTACACGTAGATATTACACGTTGTGGTAGGAAAATCAATTTCACTAGAGTGATACGTAGCCGGGGCGTAAACTTTTGCCAGCACGAAACGTTAGAGAAACAGATAGAACCGCCCTCTTAGTTGCTATGCAACAAAGATTTGAATAACCACCGTACGCTGAAACCACATAAATGGCGCAAGCAGATAATGATAGAGAAGAAGTTAACTTGATGCAAACGCCTTCATACTTCGAAATTCTCGTAAGCGTGTGCCCCATAAACACCGACACTCTTTATTATGGCCTCTGCTTTTGTCTTTCGAAATGCAGAAAAAGAGGGAGCTAACTGGGTTTGCTCACAACATCAGTCTAAGATTCTAGAAGGGGGAAAAAAAACTCCCGGCAGATCTTGTAACCTTTTCAGCCAGACTCGATGATCGGATCCAGACATCCGATTTCATAACGAAGCATCATCTCAAGACATAAAAGCCCCGAATAGCTGGATTACCGGATCCAAATATCCGATTTCAAGCATAAATGGCATCGCAGGACATAAAAGCCCCGCACATTTCGGAAGATTCCGCTGACACCGGAAGCTGTAATAGAGGATGCGGAGCATTTTTTTGCGTCTCCGCTTGTCATTCTGTTGTTCTGTCATTTTTTGCGCTCTTTGCCGTCCTATTCTGTTTATGATATCATGAAACAGGAATAATCTATTCCCAGAAAGAAGGAAGTCGGCAAGATAAAGAGAGGATATTTTTGGGGAAAGTCACAGAATAGCTGTCATGCGCTTTAAAAAAAAGAAAATCACCCCTCAAGGTCATTTCAATAATGCGACGTTTTTGACAAAATGCTTTAACAGTCTGAACAAATGATAATTAAAAATATACAAATTACATTTTGAATTACTCCTAAAACTAGTCTTACTTTGATTAGTTTGCATTCAAGTACTTCGTACGTTTATGTTCAGAGTAGCTTTTAAAAATGTCTCGTTCCCGAACTCTTTATACCCCTTTTCTTCTTCTTCTTTTTGTTCTTGTTCTTGTTCTTCTTATTGTTCTTTTTCTTCTTCTTCTTCTTCTTCTTCTTCTTCTTCTTCTTCTTCTTCTTCTTCTTCTTCTTCTTCTTCTTCTTCTTCTTCAAATAAAATAGGGATACAAAGAAAATGAAGAAGACCCAATTCGTTTTCATGTGTTAAAGATAATCATCTACAAATTGTGTAACTCAACAACATCCAAAGAATCTTAATTCATAGTATACTTTATTAAGTCACACTAATACTGATAAAACAAAAGCAGGATTCCTGACTCCCTGTGGCTACCTTCTTTACAATAACACCAACACACCCTTCTCGAGGTCAAGTAACTCTTTGGGTCAAGTGACTCTTGGTGACTTTGTAAAACGTAATAAATTTATCGATTAGAGCAACAATGTTTAAATGTTGTCTAGACAGACAGAAATGTGATATCAACTAATTGCAATTAACTTAAGAAGTTGCATGTAATGAGATACACATGTCAAAGATGTTAGAAAGCTACGTACGACCAGACTGTTACGATGAAACAAGATACTATGTAGAGTGTCTTCGGTATTAACGTATTCTTCTCTAGATACTGACATTGCAAGAGACATATATTGCAAATATGAGACACACAACGACAAGAGCGTCTCTAGCTAGCTTATACATATGATAGATAGATCGATAGATAGATGTATCAATCGATAGATATATAGATAGATAGATTGATAGATAGATAGGTAGATAGATAGATAGATAGATAGATAGATAGATAGATAGATAGATAGATAGATAGATAGATAGATAGATAGATAGATAGATAAACTAATTAAAAATTAAGACAGCTGACGCTACGCCCGAGTAGACATAAAAGGGCAAATGCAGGTCCGGAAAATGTTCGCACTGGAAGCCAGTGCATTTCTCGAGCGTCTGGCGCCAGTAAAGCGTCCAGCCACATCGCCATGGCTATATCAAGTGTCCTTTTATGAAGGGATTGAAGTGCAAAACTATTACGGCTTTCTTTGAAATAGGACTCCAAATAAAATAGGCACACACACACACACACACACATACACATTGGCACAAACACACGCACACACACACACACACACACACACACACACACACACACACACACACACACACACATACACACAGACACACGTACACGCATACACATATGCACACATACATACACAAGTAAACACAGGTACACATAAGCAAACACAAGCACACACACGCACACACACACACAGACACACACACACACACACAAAATCGCAAACAAGCACACACAAAGGCATAACATAATTTGCTAAGCGTGTAAGAGCTTCTTTAAACAGGATGTTGTTACGTTAAAGTTTAAAAAACGTATCTGATCAATTGTAAGGTTTACTGCCCTTCAAGCTTGGGAACGTACAAAGCCTGAGTACAATTTACAGATTGAACACTGCAATATGCTTTAGGGAAGTTTATCAATTCAGAAACAGTTTAGGAATTCAAAAACATGGGGAGCCACTCTTGACTCTTGTCTTTCTGCGACAATAGTATAATTGAGCTTTTTTGCTTTACAAACAACCAAGAACATAAGATATCAGCTGGAAATAGCTTTTTTAAAACAGCTTTTGAGGCCTTTTCGTGAAGCACTATTCCTGCGTATCTCTCCCCACCCCTAACAATGACATAATTTCACTAAACTGTGAGAAAACAGTTTGTAGACTGACACGACACTTTTTCCCGAAGAAAGGAAATTCCAACAGAATACATATCAAGTAAAAAAAAAAAAAGAACGGACTTATTGCATAGTGTTTCAAAAAATGTTTTCTTGTATGTTGGAAACCTGTTCTGAAAAAGGTTGTTAAGGAATTTGTGGTCTAAGCTGTTCATAAACAGCTACTTTGTAAACCAGCAGTGAAAGCAATTTAATAAGAGACAGATGTTCCCTGTAGTAGAACATAGATTAGGACACCTGTCAATTCTACATTGGCTAATATAGAGGGCTGTCCAAACTGGCTATAAACGAGCAGTTCTTTAATGATGATGATGATGTTGATGATGATAATCATGATTATAGTGATTTAAAAAGTGATAATAATAATAATAATAATAATAATAATAATAATAATAATAATAATAATAATAATAATAATAACAACGACGACGACGATGATGCTGATGATGATGATGATGATGATGATGATGATGGTTGTGGTAGTGTTGATGGCAACGGCTAGGAATATTTCAGGTTTCCTCGTAAGATAATTGCGTGTGGTTCAAAAGGTAGGCCAACCGTTACGTTTAACCTGACAAACAGCAGCTGGGATGGGAACATGACTGTACTGCGTTTTCCCTTTTCAAATGATGGGTTTCAGTGATTAGGAAATACTGGTCTTCTACTTCTATTGGTCATTAACATGTTAAAGAGGTTGCCCCTAAAAAAAAAATTAAAAAATAAAAAGAGCGGAATTATGACAAGCAATCGTCATCTTGTTCAATCTGAGAAAATCTTAGACGGAAGGATTGACTGGGTCGCTTAAAAGCGATACAAACTTTCTGATAGTTTTGTACCAAATAGAACATTTAGTAAAGAGAAAGTCTGGATGTAATCGATTAGATGAGTTCACGAATGGATGTTTAAGTGAGCAAACGGTTGTAGCCATGCCTGAGTGAGTGATTCGGGTTTGGTGTGACGGAACAGATACTGTCTGTGATTGACGTTCCACTGTCGTGAAAGTGCTCTCAAATATTAGCCCGACTCAAACGTCTCTTCTGTACCGTGTTCACCTCTTTTCAGTTTTTAAAAAGGTTCTCCACCCTCTCGGTTGGTTTGTTCGTCTTTTCTGAAATGGACACTTAGTCCTGAGGTCTAGAGAACTCCCCCCCCCCCCCCACACACACCCCACCCTCAGAATAACGTTTAGAGCTAAAAAAAAAAAAAAGAAGCATTAAACCCACGTCATGTAGTACCAAACTTTTGTTCTGTCTAGCACATTCTACTTCACCCATCGATGCTCTTTATTCCAATTTTTAAAAAACCCAGAACGTTAACTATAATATATAATATTTTTTGTTTTTACATCTTGGCTTTTTTGTCATGGAGATGGTCGGGTCCAGTTCACTTAACCAACAAAATGTTTCTTTTTGAAAAAGCAATACTTTTTCCCAGGTCTGCTTGGGTTTTTTAATAAACATATATATTATTCCGTTGTCACTTCTGCAGGCAACGATGTACCACCGTTCTTATCTGCTGCCAGTCACAGTATTTTTTTCCTTTCAAAAGGTCACCACCAAATACGTAAAATCGTTATGTAATACTCATTCTCTCTCTCATTCTGTCTCTCTCTCTCTCTCGCCCTCCCCCCACTCTCTATCAATCTCTCCTCCGTGTCCCTTGCACACACACACACACACACACACACACACACACACACACACACACACACACACACATGCACACACAGGCACATAGACCCACGCACAAGCATACAAACACACAAGCACACACACATACACACACACACACACACATACAAAAACACATGCACACACAGGCACATAGACCCACGCACAAGCATACAAACACACACACATACACACACACACATACACACACACACACACACCGTTTCTTAATTCAAGACCTGTTAATAAAACACAACTAGTGTAACAACTTAGCACTAGACCTACTTAGCACGCCAGTTGTGATTCTGTACACTGGAGTCACCCAGTCTTAGGTAAATGACGCTGGGAACATCTGCAAGCATTATTTATCACAGGAGAGGAGAGTAGTTCGTTAACTCAAGCTAGAAAGCTACGGCGTCCTATATCTACCGTTATGAGTACCCCGGACAGCCCTCGTGAGTAATTGATCAAGCCCACATGCATTCTCTGAACAATGCAAAGACCTACTTGGCCGGCTCCACCCTACCATCTGCTATGTCACATTATGGAATAGAGGCCGTGCATAACTGTCCCCGGACGCTTACCGCTCTCTCTCTCTCTCTCTCTCTCTCTCTCTCTCTCTATCTCTCTCTCTCTCTCTCTCAACCACACACACACACACACACACACACACACACACACACACACACACACACACACACACACACACACTCACTCATTATTCATAGGTACTTCTACTGTGGGTGTTACAGTCGTTACGGTATATAGACCAAACATACGTCTGACGGAAGATGAGTAGGTGTAATGCACGGACACAAATGGACTGAAGTTGGGTTTGTAAGACAGGCTTTTATTGGTTTAGAACAAGACGAGTGCAAATCCAGAAATAAGGAAGTGAAGCAAAAATAGTCGGCTATATCGCTGTTGTCATTGGACGCAGACTAAACGAATGCACTAGCGCCTAACCGCGACCTTAGAAAATTACAAAGTTCTATCAGCGCAGTACCTAGTTTTGAAAAATTTGACGTAAACAATTTGGAGTTTCACAAAATCTCAAGCTGTTTCGAATTCGATTCTTCGAACATCTTGTAAAAGACTCCGAATAATCTTACAATTTTGTTAGAACAGACGTAACATTTGGTTTCTGACCTCAAAGTCTTAGTAACTGAAAACGGCCAAAAATGTCAGATAGAACTGAGTAATTCTAAGGTAGCGTAAAAGTTAAAAAGGAAGGAAGTTACTTCGCTAAAAAAATAATATAAAGAAGTGACCCCAAATATGCTCTCTTTTTATAAACCGAATTTCAAAATGAAGATTCCTTGGTTTCACTTGGCGAAAGATACGATGTTCACGACATATGAACTCTGAGGTATCGAATAAGCTCCCCCCCCCCCCCCCCCTGCTCCTTATTCCATATTCCCCGTTTATTATTTTCAAGCTTGCCACGACCGACGATCATGTTAAACATTATAGAATCTAGATATCTGAATGAAACTTCTTTTTTTGGGTGTAAATTACGGCAAATTACCTTTAGTATTAGTACCGGTACCGGGTTGGCAACCTTGTGTAATTTGTGCATTTTAAAAACTTTTGAACCTTGGTTAATATTTTTAATGAAACTATTTTTTCATAAATTGGAAAACTAATCACAGTAACTTACTAATATCACTAAAATTTCATGATCTCTTGCTCTTTTATTCACAGAAGGAGAAATAAAACAGATTTGTTCCTACTAGTACATAGTGCGAGGTTGAATATGCCAGCCCCTCCCCCCTTTAAAAAAAAAAAATTCCATCTCACCCGTTTATTAATTTTGGACCACTTGTCGAACCCCCCCCCCCCCCCCCCCCCCCCCCCCCGTTTATTCCTGTCCCCCCTCCCCTTTATTCGATACATTAGAGTAGAAAGGACGTGTCTTCTCCAACACTGAAAGTAGTAGGACAGCCAACACCGTTTTATCGGTTCATGACAAGAGGCACACATTATAATACATGCACTTATATAAAATAACTTGCAAAGATGGGAAGAGAACATCGGTCATTGTTGTTGTACTCATCGCTTAACGTAAGGCAACATTTGATTTAATATTTGTCTCTGACATTCACTCTTTGTTCCCGTAGTTCATATAGGCCAGACAGACCGTGTATTCTTGAAATGTGTTTTATGTTAACTCCAGACTGATGTTGTCCTTTTTATTCATAGCAATTTTGTGTTCATAATATTATTATGATGTGCGTATTGTTATCCATTTTGTTGTTGTGTTTTCTTTAGCATTAACGTTAATCTAAAGAGAGTATGAATGCACATTTATTCACTTGGT